TCCAGCGGCATCGAAACAGGGCCACCGTTATATCCCTTCCATAGTCAAGTTCCCATATCTCTTCAATGATGCCAAAGTATTGGATCTTTCGCCCCAATCCATCGAGAGCCTCTATTCGAACGCCGCTGTTTTGGTTCACATATTTACTATCCTTTGCGTGGGTATAGTACGTATACCCAATGATGTCATAAGCATTCCAAGATGTCATTTGTCTCGATGGCCCCTCCGCCAACCTACTGATGGTAATAGAGTCTATGGTTTCTTCAGGCGGTATGTTTTGGTCCTTCAACCATGTAGTTAGTTGTTGCTTATGCTATTTCATGACCCAATCATCCGAACGATCATTTCTCTCCGCCATAATGATAGCCAATTTTTCATCAATGTACGGTTCCATCAGTTGTGTACTCTACAAGACACTGTAATGCGCCTGACTCACCTCTTTGTAATCATGGTCGATGAACACTTTTCTACCACTGGTGCCCTTCCCAGCCAGCCTACCCTTGTGACGAGAATCGGGTTTACCAATCCCTTTCTATACTTTTAGGTACTCTTGACAGCACTCGATGACTTCTTCAGTACTGTAACCCTCTATCATAGAGCCCTCTGGGTATGCTCGATTATGCACGTATCGACTTAGAACCGACATGAACCGCTCGTAGGACCACGTTTCATGCAAGTAGAAAGGGCCCAGCGCCTGTATCTGATGAACCATGTGAATCATGAGATGTGGTATTATATCAAAAAAAAGTAGGAGGTAAACACATCTCTAGTTGGTTTTGTGTCTCCACCACAAATTCATGTAGGTCACTCAGCTCTTGCTTGCCAATCATCTTCTATGAGATCTTTGAAAAGAAGTAGCACATACGGGTGATGGCCATTTTCAAGAACTCTGGCTTTATAGCCCTAATTGCAATAGGTAGAAACACTGTCAGCATCACATGACAATCGTGAGCCTTGCAGTGTGTTATTGACAAGTCCTTCATCGACACTAGCTTCTTCACATTTGCTGAAAACCTAGTCGGGACTTTGACCCCCTCAGGAAAGTGCATATAGCTCTCTTCTCGTCTGGTGTTAGGTTGAAGCACGCCGCGGGCAGAGTGTATTTTCCATTAGCCTTAGGTACCGGGTGAAGCTGTGGCATCACGTTTAGCTGCACCATGTTTTTCCATGCTTTTAGACCATCCTTTGATTTGCCTGTGTCCATCAAGGTAGCAATGAGACTCTCAAAGACATTCTTCTGTATGTGCATAGCATCAATGGCATGGGGGACCTCCAAGTCTGGCCAATAAGGCAGATACTGAAAGAAGATCGATTGCTTCTTGAAATATACGCCTTCGACAAGAGGTGTGCTTCTATCTCTGTTTGTCCCATCCGGATTCTTCTTTCCATAAATGACGCGTATGTTTTTCACCATTCTGTACACGTGTTCTTCGTTATGACATCTCTCTGGAGGGAGTTCAATCTCTGAGGTGTTGTCATAAAATCTAAAGAATAATTTGCTACAGTACTTGTGACTTGTCTTTAAGAAGCGTCGGTTCCTTAGGTAAACTATCTTCTTGGATGCATCCAGGTACACCCATGTAGTACCATCCAAGCAAACCAAGCATCCTATATTCCCTTTGATCTATCAAGACAAAGCAAACAGCGTGGGGTAATCATTGGTAGTAACAAATATTATTGCTCTACATATGAAGTCCTCCTTTCAGAACGCATCGTACATCGGCTCCCCATGCCTCCATAGCCTCTCCATTTCTTGCATCAAAGGCTCGAGGAACACGTCTATATCAATGCCTGATTGTTTAGGGCCAGAAATAAGAATAGTGAGGAGAAGGTACTTTCTCTTCTGACACAACCACGTTGGGATGTTGTACATGGTCAAGATCACTGGACAAGTGCTGTGGTCGCTCATCCTCTCATTGACGGGATTCATTCCATCGGTGCTCAAACCAAATCGTACATTCCTTGGGTCATCGCTGAATTCTTTGTGCTTCTCATCGAACCTTTGCCACTAACTACAATCAGCCGGGTGTGCAATCTTATCATCATCCACCTTGCGCTCATCATCCCACCATGTCATGAGTGCGGCTTCTTTAGGGTTTAGGAAGATACATCTCAAGCGGTCGGTCACTTGCAGGTACCACATTATCAAGGCAGAAATTCTTCTCTGCTTTGCATCGTTGCCGAATGGAGTGTCCTCTGGGGGCTGAGATTCTTGTACCACCTTTTTTGTACCCTTCTTATTCCTCTTTTTCCCCGTGGAGGCTTCGTCCCCACCGTAAAGGTCATTGTTCTTGTACCAGCTGACCCCACACCGGGGACATTTATCCAGTGACTTGAACGTTTCGCCATGAAAAAGTATACAGTGGTTGGAGCATGCATGAATTTTTTCAACCCCCATTGTCAATGGACTTATGACCTTCTTCGCTTGATATGTGTTGGTGGGAAATGAGTTTGGTTGTGGCAGCACCCATGACAGGAGATGCAATAGATCATTGAAACTACAGTCTGACCAGCCGTACTTAGCCTTCAGGATGAGTAGCTCAAGCACAAAACGTAGCAATGTCCATTGTGTCGGACAACCCTTTTCAACACCATACATAGTCTCCTTCGATACTTTTGTCACATTTTCTAAATTTTCTAGACTTTTTGGGCTATTTAGTAAAATCTCTGGCCCAAGGGCTCGAATCATGTCCTCCAAATCATCTTTATCCCCGACACGTGCTCCACCATCATTATTGGCACCACCTTTGTCGTTACCATCCCACCCACCAGCATCACCACCTTGTTTATTGCTAAACTCGGAATCCATTTGTGCATCAAGCTCTGCTGAATATTGGGACAGGGATTCTTTGGTTTCGTCGTCGTATTCCTCTCCATCCTCGTCGTTAACAATAACCGTTTCACTATGATGAATCCACACTGTGTAGTCCTCAACAAATCCTCGCATAATCAAATGTGATATGATGATAGTCACATCTGTCCATACCATACGGTTCTTGCAATCTTTATAGGGACAAATAATTGTATCCTTATTCTCTATCAATGTCGTTGCATGCTTCTTTGCGGCTTCAATAAATTTATCCACCTCTTCATGGAAACCTGCCTTGAACCTTAACGAACTATACATCCAAGAGTTCATGTACTCCATCTTTTACAACAACAACAAAACAAACATTAAAGGACTACTTATTCCGATATATATAAAAATGAATCAAATTAATAATTACTTAAGAATAATTGTATATACTTCAGATATATATGAATATAAATCAAATATAATTACATGAAGCATACAAACACACCATGGTAGAGGAAAATTAATTAATGACCCATTTATCCATAAATAATTAAAATACATATTTGTTGATTACAGTAAATAATTTTCAAGACAATAATTAGCAACAATTATATTTTACCCAATATCTTTCATACAAACTCTAGTCCAATTTCATCAAACACAAATTTACATAAACGAAATTAATAAAAAAACCAAACCCTAGATTTAGATCTACATGCACATGAAACATCCATAAAACTAACTAATTATTCACTAAAACCAAGAAATATGGACCAAATAAGGGTATGATCTTGTTCCCCTACCTAATTTACCCTGGTACATTCAAAACTTGGGTCTAATTTGCTTCATAAGTAGCTCAAGCACCATATAAGAGAGAGAAAAATAAAACTCTAATTACTCACTAACCAACCATTAAAACTTCAAAAAAAAAGTGTAGAATAACATTTTCTTACCTTCTACAACCTCTCCACCAAAGGATTTGAGACCAAAACCTTCCTCCTTAGTAGATTAATTTTTGGGAGGTGTCCAAGGCCTCCCCACCTTTCTTTCACGGGTTGGAGTGAGTGACCCGAGGAGTAAGAAAGTGCTGCAGCCTTTTTATATGTGGGTCATTTGTAGCGGCGGCCGGTGATTGAGCCGCCACTACAAATCGGAGGTATTTATACGCGGGCATTTGTAGGGGCGGCTCAGTCACCAGTCGCCCCTACAAATAGCAACACCGAGGGCGGCTAGTGAGTGAGCCGCCCCTACAAATCCAACCCATTTGTAGGAACGGCTCGTATCACCAGCCGCCCCTGCTGTTCCATTTATAGGGGCAGCTGGTCCCTGAACTCCCTAGCACGTCACTGTAGGGGCGGATCCATCACCAGCCGCCCCTAAAAAAAATTTGTCCTGTTGCTAAAAACCATTTTTCACGTAGTGGGCCGACGTCCAGCACATTGCCCTGGATGCGAAAGTATTCCATCTCGTCCAGCACGTCCTCGGCATCATACATGAGATCTCGAAGCACCATCAGAATGTCCTCGAGTGCCAAGTTATGTATTACCTTGCCAAGGGTTAACTCAAGAATCACCTTCATGGACTTCAGCTCTTGCTCGAGGGCCTCCATGCTCGGGCCAAGGTTGATGGTGGCTGCCCAGTTCTTGAGCACGTTGTCCGCCAAGGAAGCCAACGCCTTGTGTGCCACCCAAAATGATGCATTCCGTGACCCTCGATTACAAAGCGAATTCAGTTTCAAGTAAGAATTCATGGTCCTTTCTAGATTGATCATCATGACCAAAGACAATATCCAGGAATAATTCCTTAAATTCTTCATTTTCTATACCTTGCAAATATATTGATTGATTGTATTTTTCAACCATTATTTGTGCTTGTACTGGAAACCGTGTCGTGACTATGACTATATTACCATGTACTTGTGATCTTTTGAATGGCACTAGTAGTTGTTTCCATTCATCCCTATCGCTGCAGTCCCATATATCATCCAATACAAGCAAGAGCCTTTTATTTTTTAATCTTTGCCCAATCAACTCACCAGGAGTACTATTCGTACTTTCACCATCAACTGTAGGGACGTACCTTTGAATCTCTTCTGTTAGCTTCTTCACATTAAAGTTGAGCGAGACACAAGTCCAAGCTCTGACATCAAAATGCTCTTGCACTTCTCCACTGTGATATATATGTTGTGCGAGAGTTGTCTTCCCTATGCCCCCTGGGCCAACTTAACAATGGGAATAACCGTGAGGACCTCCGTGGAATACTTACCCTTTGTGATATCATGTATGATTATATCCATCATAAGCTTCCTCCCATACAATTTCGGCTCTATACTTTGAGAGGTGGTGATAGGACGACTTTGTGCAGTGTTTGGGATAGTGCTCCAGTTAGAACCTAAAGGTGAAATAATGCCATAAATCCTTTGTCGCATGAGCTGCATTTGCTCTGCAGTATGCTGCATTCTTTCGGAGGCATTCTCCCTATCGAATTTAAACTTTTTTGGTTCATCACAAACAGATGGCCTTTCGGAATCATTCTCCCAATCCAATTTCAACTTTGTTTGTTCATCACAAACGGATGGCAGAGGTGACCAAGGGAACTGAATATTAAGGCCAAGAATGTCTTGGGTGCGAAAGTATCCCATCTCGTCCGACATGTACTCAGCGTCATGGTTGTGGGCACAACCTTTGGCATTCTGGCTGGCATCCAGCACATCGCCCTGGTTGCGAAAGTATTCCATCTCATCCAGCACGTCCTCGGCATCATACACGAGCTCTCGAAGATCCATCAGAATGACCTCGAGTGCCAAGTATTGTATTACCTTGCCGAGGGTGGACTCAAGAATGGCCATGATGGATAGCAGCTCTCGCTTGAGGGCCTCGACGCTCGGGCCAAGGTTGATGGTGGCTGCCCAGTCCTTGAGCACGTTGTCCTCCAAGGAAGCCAACGCCTTGTGCGCCACCCAAAACGACGCATTGCGTGCCCCCTGATAACAAAGTGCAGCAACTGAACCATCCACACTTGCCAAAACTGGCCCGCATTGTGGTTGGAGCAGTGCAACCGCTGATTTCATCGTGTCTTTTGTGATCCATGCTGGTGCATGATCCTTCATGGCAATTTTATTTAGACCCACCAAGCTGTCCTCACGCAGCACATCCGGTTGCAGCACCTCTTCCTGGGTTCCCATCTATGAATGTAAGTATGCAAGAAACAGTTAGACTAACTGCACCTTAGCTTGTTCACAGAGATTAAAGGCTACAAAAATATACTTCCTCTGTTTCTTTTCTAAGGCATACTATATGTATGGGGATTTTGAAAGTCAAGCAATTAGTAAAAATAGATTGTGACACCCACTTTTTTTTATGGTTCATGCCAAAGTTGTAGATCTCAACATGCTTTACAACTTTGTAGTAGACATCTTTTTTTATTTGAGATTGTTTAGAGATCCAAAATTTTGTTTTAATTCTGTAATTATGAAATTCAATTTTTAATTTTTTTGAACCATCTTAGATGGAGACATGCTCTATATCTAGTTTGCAGTGCTCAATGAGATCCAACACTTTTCTAAATGAACTTGTTTCCATTTGAGATCATTTAGGGGTCCAAGTATTCAATAAAAGATGACAAGGCTAAAACCCTGAAGACATGTGGGGCCCACATGTCACATATGTGACATATCAACCTAAGCCAACATTGAAACCACTGAACTATTTTAGGGTGTTATGATTTTTCCGGTTGTGAAATTAAGGGGATATGTTGTCCAATATTTAGTTCGAGGGTGTTGTTTAAATTCGATGACAATTTTAGGGCGGGATTAAACTTTATTCTTTTTATTACAATATAGTGTCAATAATATGTTAAAAAAGAAACCCATAGGCAAAAAACAAAAGATTGGAATTTTCAAATCCTATCCTATAAAAGAACTAAGAGTACCATATAATATTATTTAACTCGTAATTACCGTCTATCTTTTTCTGTCGATGCTATAAATTACAGGCACAAATTTAAACTTAAAATATCAATATTACACCAGTAGTAGTTAAAATGATATGTTAATTATTGATGGGAAGGGAGTGGTGGGTTTTAGCGGAAGTGCTTATATTTGTGACAAATTTTAAATGCTAAAATTATGTACATTTATGAATAGAGGGGGTATTAAGCTTGTTTCTTGGAGGTACTTTATGTGATTTTACTTCTAAAGGAAAGTGCATAGATACAAGTCAGTAGTCTCATACTTGTCTTAAGTTGTGCTGCTTAGGATTTTAAATAATATGAAAGAGAGAGATGAACATGAGAGAAAGATGCAGTTGTTTTACAAAGCAACTTAAAAGACAACCAATTGTATGGGTTCTCTATTAAATCATCTTCATATTACGTGTTGTATGATGACTCTATTTAGATTAGGACTCAAGAGAGGTGTGCTATTGGGATTTCTAATTCTATTATGACTTGAGTGTCTCCTCTTTCATGTATGAGAGCTTTGGAAGGGACTATATAAACACAGGGTGGAGGCCATAGGCATAAACTAAGCCGACACAAGGGTCTTGTCCAAATCTTGTAAGGAGCAATTAGGAGCGCTAAAGAGAATTAGGCTAGACAGTTCTATTGCACTAGATTTTTGTATAGAACAAGAATCAGTGAGTCCTAGAGTATCAAGTATGGTTATGGGAGAGCAACAATCACTTGTGTTCTTGGAGTTGTGATTATAGATCGAATTTGAGGCTAACTTCGCCAAAATCCTAATCTCTTATCATGGTTCCTTCAACGTCATCATTTAGGATTTTCTATTGGATTTGTCTACATCGTTCTTACTACGATGCATGCTTGTGTCATACTCACAATATCCTCTCAAAAATCTAAGGGTTACTACACATAACTAGAGGTATCAGATTCTTACGTTACATGACACTCAATGCAACCACCTATAAGAAAACACCGATATACTTAATTACCCTAAGGAATCCAAGAATAATAAGGTGAGGCTTATACTAATCTAGTAACCCAACGGGCCCTATGGAACAATAGTTTGCCGTCATCATGCTTGTTGGATTTAAAGTTCACTAGAAAAGCACGCGCGGCGTTGCCGCGCAGCCATGCAGGGTGCCCACCGTATGTTACCCAGTGGGAATATTCAGTGCAGGATAGGTACAGCAACAGATTATTGTATATCTAACAGCAGCGTCTTGGATTTAGTTTTACAAAAGTTAGAAGCAAGCCCTTAATAGTGCAGCATAGGTACAGCAGAAGATCATGTATATCCAACAACGGTGTGTTGGATTTAGTTTTACAGTCAAAAGGTTTGTCTTGTCCTAGAGAGACTCTAGCAAAAGTCTTGTCTTTCTTAGAAGACACTTTGGGGATATTTCATCCAACAGAGCATCTATACACAGCAAAAGATATGTCTTCCCCAGGAAAAACTCCGTAGATATGTTAATGAAGGGGCAGTCTTGTTCATACTATTTCATCTGTCAAAAAAAAGGAATATATATATATTAAATCTAAGAGGTGAATAAAACACTTGCATAGATAAATTGGGCTGAGATAGGTGTATGCGAGTCTTACCTTAGTCGCTGGCTTGTGCCTTTGGTCGTAGCTTTAGTTTTTGGATAATCGTCATCTTGAATCTCCTGTTTGATAATTAAAAATTAAGAACTGATAGGTATGAATGACAGATTTAATATATTCATTTTTTTATGTGCACAAATGCTAGGTGCGCACACCTGATTGTTGCTAGCACTTTCTTCATAGTCTCTTTTGCCTGATATAATTTTACCAGAGATGCTGCAGTATAAATTTATGACAGGTTAATGAATTATCGAACTTTAATTAAAAAATTTTATGTGGGGAAACACAAACAGTCAAATTTCTAAAACCATGTGACTAAGCATTTTAAATGCATACCTCGGTGGATCAAGATCCATGGTCTGTGTTTCGCCCTGTACTTGTGTTATTAGTGCATATATAGTTTGCTAAAAATGGTGTGAGTAATAATGTAAATGTTTTAGACTTTTACCTGGCCTTGAATGTTTTTAGATCCTATGGGAAGTACAAGTGGTAAATCTTCGTGTGCTGCAAACACAGTTGAGCTGGGTGCAACTGCTGGAGATTTGTATAATTGAGACATAGGTGGTGCTGGTTGCTTTCCAAATCTCTCCTTGATGAGAACAACTTCGAATGATGGCTCAAGTGCATTTATGCTTTTGTACAGAACCTTGACTATGAAGGTAAATTTGTGATTTATCAATAATATGACTTCTGGAGGAGTCTGTGTGATGTCATATTGCTTTCGGAGAGTCTCTGCACTTTTACCAATGAGTTCTGCTCCTCGTTTTTCAAAGATCATGAACTCAAGATTATATGTTCCATCAGTAACAAAAAATGATATCTTGTATCTGAAAACAATAAAGTACAGGCTGTTAGAGATTGTTTTTTGTGTAATTAGTATATAATCTTGTTTATAATGGGAAAATAGAATTGGCTTACCTCCAATCAAACTGGGTGTTTGTGCAATCTTCTTTAGTGCATTTAAAGTTTTTATCTTGATGTCTGATAGTATGGTTGTCAATTGTGCATGCTCGGTAGCACCATGGTTCGTTTTCTGTGATTGTAATAATGGTAACAGTACATTCATATTTTTTATCCTGCATGGATTCACAGTTTGTATATATAATTAGTTGGATATAATTCTTTCATTATAAAAGTCTAAGGTTTTTTGTATGGGTAAATAATAAAATTACCTTCTCAGTGAAAGGGTCTATATCCTTTAGTTGTAGCAATGTCTTTTGCTCGAAGCTCCGCTGGCTATCATCTTCACTTTGAAGATATAGATGCTGAATTGGCTCAGATACAAGTGGAAGACTGCAATTTATAGAGCCATGGGAGATAGTTAAATTAGAAGCTTTTGATAAGAGCAACATACATAGAATGTATAGATAGATTAATATATTTCTTTACCTTTTTTGGAAAGCTTTGATTTCAGGTATATCATTGAGGTTGATATACCAGCGACATGCTGACGTGCCACTTAAAAAATGATAGTTTCCCTTGTAGACTTTTATTAGAGTGCCCACAAATATTGCTATTACATGACTTTGTTGTCCAACTTTTAGAACCGTTTCTCCATCAAATTCTAGGGCTCTTTTTCCAACAAGTGATAAATCGATGGTGTTTCCACTGTAGCATAAGACAATTATAATTAGAAACTCTTGTGATAAAAAAATTCTCAATGAAACTTGCTTTTGCTGAAAACAATTTAAGCTGCTACACTTGACAAAACAGAAAAGGATAGGAGATCTAGGCTCCGCTCGGCTGTGCTACGGCTGCAGTGTTGTAGGCTGCTGATGCAAAGCAACAAACACAAACTGTACAGTAATCAAAGTAACCAAACTGTACAGCCAGAGTAGCTGTACCGATCAGGTTGCTATTATTTTGATTCATATTTTAGAGATTGAAAGAACATATAGGATAAAGTAGGAAAGAAAATATGTTGAATGTACCAAACTGAGATGACTTCGCAGTTTGAAGTAGTGTATGTCTTAATTTTAATGAATACCTGAGGTCCTGGAGTTTTATTAGTCTCCTCATCATTAAATCACCTGAACTTAAGTAAACATTTGCTGCATTTGACACAGCAATAATTCTTCCAATGACATCTGCAAGATGAAATAGTGTTAGATTTAAATAATTATTTTTTTATCATCTGAAAAAAAGTAGTGTGAAATGATTAGTTTATACTGTGAGGAAAAGTAGAGTACCTAGAAAATTTTCATTCTTTAGGTACTGAAGCAGGCTAGTAAAAGGAGTGAGCGAGAATGTGTATTTTGGAAAGCTGTCTGGCTGATCATTTGGCACGGCAATTATTGTTCTCTTATTTAGTCTGATCATATAGGGGTGGTCCACAACCTTGAATGTTGGCTTGGCTTTCTCTACTGTTATCTTCGCCACATAGACAATTTTGCCTTTTTCTAGATGAGGTTTGCAAACAGGAATTGCATCAGGTGGAATCTCAGCATAAATTGCATTGGCCTGTGGTAGATGGAGGATAAAAATATTAGTAGCAATATATTAATTCTGGGGCACATATAGTATGTTGTGTATTGCACATTTCATGATACCTTTTCATCAACCAGAACAAGGTCAAGGTGCTTGATAATATTTTGTTCATTGGTGCCTCTGTGTTCCCACATTCTTGATATCCGCACACATATGACATACTCCAGTCCTTTCGGCCGCAGCTCTGAGAGTAGAACTGGATTTCCCTGCATCTGCAATCTGAAATAAAGAGGAGTTATAAAATCAAACCACCTGTATTACTTCTTTATATACAATATTTTTAGTGGTCGTTCCACATGTGCCATCTTGATTTTCAATCAATATTTTCATGCCACTTTTGTTTGTAACTCTTGAGACTGCAACGTAGAGTTGTCCATGTGTAAAAACTGGTTTTTTAAGATATATTCCTACCTTTGATAGAGTCTGCCCTTGGCTTTTATTTATGGTCATGCTATAGCAAACTTTTATAGGAAATTGTCTTCGACACAAAGTAAATGGCCAGCGATTTCCGCATGTAGTCAAATTTATTATAGGTATATATGTCTTCTCTCCTATATGTGTACCTGTTATTATAACAGCTTCTATAATATTATCTGCTAAATTAGTTATTATTAGCCTTGTTCCGTTGCAAAGGCCTAAGCTTTGATTAAGGTTTCTTAACAACATTATTGGTGTTCCATTCTTAAGCTTCAATCGATGTGAAGGAAAATTATTTGCATTTAAGGTATTCAAATATTCTACAGGGTACAATACATTTGCATCATTACATGTATCCATGCAATTTGATATTGAGTCAGCACTAAAATACTCTCTCTGTATTAGGTACTAAGGTCAGTATATAGTCATTTACTTGGTCAACTATATCATTTGTTGTCGATAGAATAGCTCTTTGTTTTAGGTAGTCTGGATCATTGTATTTTGTTTTGAAATCCGGGAATGTAAAATTAACTAATGCTTCTATTTTATTTTCTGTTGTGTACAGTAGTAAATCGTTGGTATTTCAACTATGGAAGTATCATCGTCTATGTTTTCGTTTTCTGTATTACTATTTTTAGTGCAGCCATATCCAATTTGTAGAATCCAATTACTAAAGCTTTCTAGTTCTTCGTATTCTGAGTTGCTAGATTCTATTCTTTGTAGACGCATATTCTCATGTAACTTTAACTTTTTGACATCATCCCAAAGATATGATCTAAATATTGAAGCATTTATAATTTGTGTTTTTGAAGCATTTTCAATAACTGGAAGTATCTGTTTGGGATCTCCACCTAGGACGACTTTTCCTCCAAATGGTTTTTCACAAGCTTCATTATCTATCTCAGAAACTATATCCTTTAGGGATCTATCCAGTGCCTCAAAGCATTGTCGATTTGTCATTATTGCTTCATCCCATATAATTAGGTTAGTCTGTAGAAGTAGTTCAGCTAGTTTTGATCCTCTTTTTATGTCACATAGTGATAATTCATCGATATCTATGGGAATTTTAAACCTTGAATGAGCTGTCCGTCCATTTGGAAGTAATAATGAGGCTACACCTGATGATGCAACTGTTAGTACTATCTTGTGTTGTGCTCTTAAGTATGACACAATTGCATTCCATAAAAACGTTTTTCCAGTTCCTCCATGACCAGACATGAAGAACAAATTTGGTTTATTGTATAGCACACTATTTATTATCTCATGGAAAGCATATTTTTGGTCCTTATTTAACTGAAGGTACATTTTATTGGCTTGTTCTTCTAGTTGATCTATGTTGTAGGTTAATTCCTCTTCTATAAGACAGTTATTTTTTTCTAGAGAGTATTGGACAAATTTTGCGGTAAGTTATAAGTATTTATGCTTGTTCCATTCTTATTGAATATTTCAAGTTGTATGAGCAATAAATCTTGTAGTTCGATCTCAGTGGGAGAATACGCTACCGGATAGTGTCTAATAATTAGTTGTCGCTCAAGGTCGTCAGTCATTTTTGTCCAATTTTGTTCATAGAATTTTCTTTCGTCTTGTAAGTTACAAAACAAAAGCATAGTTACAAATAGATATCTTAACTGTGAGCTCGTTGCCCAATTTGCAGCTTCGTCGAAAGCTTTGTACCATTCATTGTCATCGCTTAGTAAACCCCGTGCTGTGCAAGCTTCTTTAAAAGTTTGATATATAGTGCCATTGTATGTTCTAATGTCTTCATAACTTGTTGCTCCTTTGACTATCATTAGTAGCATACGTAGGTAGAATCTTTCACCTTCTGTTGGGCTTGCATAATATAAGCGTCCTATCTTGAAACCATGTTTTCTCTTAACCCATTTTTTGTTTTTTTCGTCCCACCTCCATTTGTTGGGAAACTCACAATATGTAAGTTCTCTAGCTTCTTTATTACTTTTATTGGCTTCAAACCATTGTGTGAGCATTGTTTTTTTATTTTTTGGATCCGCAATAATAGCCTTTAGCTTTGCATTTTTTTGTAATCTTATTATATTCATAAAAGGTAGATGAACTGGAAGTCTTTCAACTGGTGGCCAATGGTAATGTATATCAAATCCAAGTAATCTCCAAATCGCATCTTGCTCACAGATATATCTGCAATCTAAATATTCTTTTATTTCGTCTATATCTTTTGTTTCTTCATTTGTTGGTGCGTCTTAAACATTTTTGATACGTTGAAATATTGCTTTTGCTCTATCTGGTCCTTTGTTTACATATTTACAAAGGTATTTTAGCAGTTTACTTTGGTTTACATATTCTACATTGATATGTGCTTGATATTTTTTTAGAAGTTGCAAGTTATGAGGGACTACCTATCTATTATCTAGGTTATGATTATCTCTACGTATGTAGAATTTGGTATCTCTACGTCGATATTGTGTGAAACCGTTATCTGTAAAATTAGTCTCGTCTTGGAACTCTTTTGGAAAAAATTTAGAACATCTACCTTTTTTCATACATGGACAATTTTCATTTAATGTTCCACCAGGACCATGCATCATATGTTCTGATATAAGAATACATCCTAAAGGATCTAGACGTGGGTGTGGAATCTCAGCAGATATCCAGTTGTCTATTATCTCAGGAGTTATGTCATTTCCATTTTTCTCTAGCCAAACTAAAATATGGACATGTGGTAAGCCTCTCTTTTGAAATTCTATAGAGTACAGAAGAGCTAATATTGGACCAAAGATTGTACCTATCTGAATATCTTTGAGCAATTGTTCTAGTTTCATATGGAATACACGTACTATAATATCAGGTCTATCATTCGGTTGTTCACCTTGTAATATAGCTAGACTGATTTCAGGCCATTTTGGATTGCATGTAAATGTTATAAATAAGTCAGGTGGTCCATATACACGACATATAGCAATACCATCATGGTAATTTTGTAGTATATAACATCTCGAGCCAACATAGCTTGATGATAATAGAACTCTTTTACCAACCTGATTTCCTTCATCTAATCCTTTCTCTATAGCATCAAATATTCCTTGAAGGTAGTAGGTTCTTAGTTTATCCTGATTTTTAGCAATATACATAAGTCTATCTTCATCTTCCATTGCACGTGCATCTACAATAGCTTGCTTTGATAATCTACCATATATAACGTAAGTACGGATTTGCCTGGTTTGGACGGAAATGCATATGGTACTTATAGTACTCGTGCATTGTTACTGTGTTTCTTTTTCTTTTATTGTTTGATGTACTATTATTTATGCAATATGGTATACCTAGCTGGAATCCTCTTTCACCATAGGGAAATAATAATGGATATTGCAAAGCCATATAGGCTGGATGCAATATTGATATGCGTTGCAACCCTCTTTGTTTACTACTCACTATAATATCTCGCTTATATTGTTCTAGATTTAGATCACCAACTATAAGCATTGCTAAATCTTCACAGTGTGGCATTTCATATTGTACTTGATCTCCCTTGTTTGCTCCTATAATACGAATGCTGATATCAATGCCATTATGTTCTTGAAGAAGATCTCGAGCATGGCGAAATATTTTAACTAACAGGTTGTTATTATCTAGCATTTCTTTATGTTTTATAACTATTGTTGGATCTAAATTATTTTCTTCGGGTTCTTCCTTTTGTAGGGCACGTATCCTATTTTGGATTTCATTTCTTGTATCAAAAATATATAGTTCCGCAAACTTTGAAGTTTTATTTGGTGGTGGTAATAAGGACCCTATGCGATGATGTATTTGGCCATTAATACGAAATACATATGGACCTTCACCTTTGTTGATATCTTTATCGATATTGCCACCCATTGATGTAAATGCAAATAAACTGTTGTATTGTCTTATCTTTGGTAAGAAATGTTTCGATAAAGGTTCATGTTTGTTATTTATGAGTCTAAATAGGAATTCATGTGGATCTTTGAAAGGTGGTATTTTGATTTGCCCATGTTTACAACAGTTGGAGTATATGACTTCTTTATTTTTCCTTGAGTCGGTAATATTTCTTTCATAAAACCAGAAATTGGCATTGCAATACTTACAAGTATATTCAGGTATTCCTAAGTATGATCTTTGTTGATAGGTTTGCTTTAGATGCTGGATATAATCTGTTGGAAATGAAACCACTCCTTCATTTGAGGATAAATAAGCATGAGCAATATCAATGTTTAAATGTAGGCGTTTTGTCTCATATTTTTCACTTTCGTCACTATTTCTTTTTCTTTTATTTTTGATCTCTGATATTTTCTGCATTCTGTTAATTCTTCTTTTTTTGCAGTCTGCTTGGATATTGTCATCCACTATAGTAACGTGCTTTCTTTTTCTGTATACCATTGCTATATATCTAAACGAATATTATGACAAAATATTAAGAAAATGAAAACAATGATTAGATAGGTATAAAAAATTAATTGTTTAAATAATACTTTCAGGATTACATGCTTGGTGTTCTAAGAACAATTTATAAAAAAGGGAAAAACAAAAATATTATGTATATGACACATACCTTTTACTTGGTTGATTCTCTCCAAAGTTTCTGTATGATGTGTTCCCTGTATTAATACACACCCCTTAGATCAACTGAAATAATAGGTTGATATTTACAGTTATATATTTATTCTTGTTCGAAACGTATGAAAGATATATGAAATATCTATAGAAACTATAAGAAAGTTTAATCCTACAAAAGAGACAAACAACAATGCAAATTTCAAGATATTTTTTGCAGATGAATAAATTATCGAAGACTGTAGCTATTAGTCCAGGCAGGCTGCGGTCCGCAGCTCTGATTCAAGAATTAGTTCTTCAAATGCTATTGGAGAGGACAGAGGAGTTGGAGGCGCCTGCCGCCGCTACCCGCTGGACTGCCACTGCCAGCAGCCGCTCCCTGCCAAATGGCCACCGCCAGCTTACAGCCCGCCACAACGTCACTGCTGCCGCCTGCCTGCCAGTGCCAGTGCGTAGCCGGCTCCCCGACGCGTAGTGCGGCCGCCCCCTGGGCGCACGCGACTCCACCGGCGCGAGCTCGATGGCCCTCGGCGCGGCTTCCTCTGGGAGACGCGGTGCCGCCGGCGCAGGCGGGGGTGTGGGCGTGCGGCGCCAACCACCTCGCAGTGGACGCGAGCGCGGGCGACGCTGCTGGGCCGTCACTCGGGGCGGGCCGGAGGGGCGAGGCCGCCGGGGCTTGAAGCGAGGCGGGCCAGGCGGCGGCGCGGGCGAGGTCGCCGGAGAGCGCAGGCCCGCCGGGGCACAGCTCGGGGTGAGGAAGCGGCCCCGGTGACCCAGGCGCAGGCGGGTCGCGGGAGCGGCGGCCCCTGCCATTCTAGCGCGCACGGTTCTCGCGAACGGCAAGGTGGAGGCGTGGAGGATGAGCACTAGATTGGGGCGGCAACGGGATTGGTCGGCGCTAGCTCGGTCATTAAAGAGCGCAACGAGGTTGGTGGTTGCCGCAATCCCTTTCCCACCGGGCCCTAGTTGCCTTCGTAGCCCGGCCGATTGGCTATCCGCTTCGATCTCCTCCTCCCTTTCCTCTACTCTCTGTCGGAAATCTTACGGTCCGAACGTTCGGACCGGAGCAGCGCGCCGACGATTCCCGCGCGTTGGCTTCCCGCGCGTGACCATTCCCGCGCGTTGGCGAGTACGACTGAATTGGCCCAGCGACGGATGCAGTGGCCCACGTAGCGCAGCGAGCCACCGACTCCACGAAGAGCACAGCGACGCCGAGCTTCTCTTCTCTTTTTTCTTTTTTCTTTTTTTGTTGTCAACTCCCGATAGGCTGGTAGAGCTTCTCTCTCTTTTTTTCCTTTTTATTATATTTCTTCTTTTCTACTCCGGGTAGGCTGTTATGTTAGTTTCTCCTTTAGTTTTTTTCTTATATTTGTTTTTTCTTTTCTTTTCCTTTTCTTTTCTTTCCTTTTTATTTTTCTTTTCTTTTTCTCTCATTTGTTCACATAGTAGTTATGTGATGTTTTTATTTACTTGCCTCTATTAGGTAGCATTTCTATTTTATGGTTTTTATTTTCCTTGTCTTTTGTCTATCTTTGATTGTTTTTGTTCAATCTTTTATTAGTTATTTTATATTTAAGTTAATTATTTATTTCTATATATTCATAGCCACCGAAAAAAATAGCGCGCTATTTCGACGCTATAGCGGCCCACAGGAACTGACGCGACGCAATTGCTCATTTTTGCGCTATGCGCGCTATTGCCGCTATTGCGTGCTAAAGCGCCGCTAAGTGCGTTTAGCGCCATAGCGCCGCTATTGCTCTGCCTGTGCTGTGGATGTGGAATGCAAAGTGTGTACTTCATGAGTTTATGGCTTTATGCATTTAAACTTTAAAGTTTAATCCCTTTATGATTGTTTGGCTTTGCATGTATGAACCTCATGTGGTTATGTTGCCTGTTTGGCTATCTGCTACTTTGCTCTTATGATTATTATGGTGGATGTTATCAGTTATCACTTATGAGTTATGAGTTATCAGATTGAGACATTGAGTGATTGAGGATTGACAGATTTTTATGTTTTCTGGAATTGTAAACAAATAGTGTGCTATAGCGTGCAAATAGCGGTGCTATAGCGTGAGTAGTCAGTTGACGCTACTGCATTTAGCTGCCGCTATAGCGGAGCCATAGCGTCGCTATAGCGTTCGCTATAGCGCCAATAGCACCCAGGACAGCCTCACGCTAAAATTGATAGCTCGCGATTTAAAACGTTGTTCATAGCATTAGTTATTTCTCTTTTTTCTTCTTTTTATTAAATTTTTATGTTTTCATATTTATTTTATGTATTCATTTTATTCATGTTTTATTATTTTGCATTATTCTTTCTTTTCTTCTATTTTTCTGCTTCTCATTTCTTTTTATGTTTTTTGTTTCATTTTATTTTTCTATTTTTCACTCTAGTATTTTTTTCTTATTTGTTATTTTACTCTAATTAATTACTTTAATATAATTTTACTTTTTTACTTCCTATATTATGAGATACATGTGATGTTTATGTAGTATATATGTGATGTTCTATGATGGATTTTTATGTACACCTAGTATACATATGATGTTCGATTATATATTTTTTTGATGTTCAGGTAGTATACAAGTGATGTTCTATGACGTAGTTTGGGATAGTCTATGATGTATATTGTGATGTTCATGTAGCTTACATGTGATGTTCTATGATGTATTTTGTGATATTCACGTAATATACATGTGATATTCACGTAGTATACATGTGATGTTCTACTACGTATTTTGTGATGTTCACGTACTATACATGTGGTGTTCTATGATGTATTTTATGATGTTCAAGTGGTATATATGTGATGTTCTATGATATATATTGTGATGTTCGCGTAGCTTACATGTGATGTTATATAATGTATTTTGTGATATTCATGTAATATACATGTGATATTCATGTAGTATACATGTTATGTTCTACTATGTATTCTATGATATTCACGTGGTATACATATAATATTCACGCGATATACATGTGAAGTTCTATGATGTATTTTACGATGTTCACGTACTATACATGTGGTGTTCTATGATGTATTTTTGTGATATTTAAGTGGTATATATGTGATGTTCTATAATGTATTTTAGAATGTCCATATTGTATAAAATGGAATGTCCATGATTATCTTGGAGTATTTACATGGTACTCATGAGATGATTTGGCGCCAATCATCGCATCCAAGCGTTCGACGATGACAGAGGTGGAAGGTGGATGGGTGGCGCATGTTTCTGTTTGTTTTTTTATTATTTATTTTCTTTTTTATTTTATTTTGTTTTCCTTTTATATAACAATACATGTATACTATGTAGTATGAATGGGATGTTCTATGACTGTCTTTGAGTATTATATAGTACGTCGGACATATTATATAGTATATTTTTAAGGCTTTTCAAAACTTTAATAATATCCATGTGATAATATTGTCTCTCTTTTACGTGGTTTTTTATTTTTTATTTTTCTTTATGCTTTGTTCTATCTTTTTGTCGATGCGAAAAAGTGACCAACAAGTAAATATTTGTAGTTTTACCGTGTGTTGTGATCGGATATGGCCTAGCACTCAATGACACAGGATTTATACTGGTTCAGGTAATGTGCCCTACGTCTAGTTTCGGTCGATCGATGACTTTATTCCTGAGCCCAGGTGCTCAAAGTTTGCTGTGGGGTTACAAATAGGTATGGAATGAGAAGGGGGTGTTAGAGGCCCGGTCGGCCTCTAAACCAAGTGGTTAAGAGTGACAGGTGCTCTAACGTGCGCTAAGTATTGGAGCGTATGCTCTGTGTTGCTATTGAGATCTAAGCTGTGGAGTTGTTCGAATGCTCAGGTTCTCTAGAGCCAGATCCAAAGAGAGAATCCAGTGTCCATCCCTGTTGGGAGAGAGCGCATCCCCTTTTATAGGTGAAAGGGATGACCTTACAAGTTAGAGAGAAACAGAGAGTGTGTGTACGTGTGGTACATAGTTTTGTTGCTCACGCCATCGGGTACGAGACGATTGTCGGCGCCCATAATACTGTTTATGCCCAGACGTGTCTGGCAGGTTTTATCATGTTCGTCTGGTATGGTAAATATCGGCGCCTACAATACTGTAAGACAAATATCGGCGCCCACAACACTGTTTTGGTTCTGACACGCCTGGAAAGTTGCATAGTGCCCGTCTGGCATGACCTGGGGGCACCGTCCTGAAGGCGCGCAGGGTATGGCAGGGTACAGTCCTTAGTATGGCGTTTGACTTAAATGCCTTACCTTATCCACTCCGCCTGACCCCTGGGCCCTCACCGATCGGGCATCCCCGGTCGATCGTTCCCAGTCGGGCCCGACCGTGTCGGTCGGGGAAGGGTCCCGAGCAGATGTCCGACGTATCTCTGGTCGGAAAAGGAGGTTGAAGTCGGACTGTGTCCCCATCTTGGCCAGGTCTTCCGATCGGGTACCGGATCGTTGCCTCAGCCTGCCATTACGTAACCAAGCCGGCCCAGAAAGTGCGCATTGTTGCTACGCCGTCCTGCTAGGCTGAGTTTTTGGAGGGAAGCGGGTACATTGGGGACCCCGGGTTTATGAACTCGATACTTTTATTATTCTTTCTATTTTATATAATGTTATATATTTATTATACAATTCTATATATTTTCTAATTTTTGTCGTTCTCATTTTTTAGTTTCACAGATATTATAATACTAATCACTTAAACCTATAATTTATTTCCTTAGATTTGGAGTACTATTTATCTAAATTGAGAATATTTTTATTGTGAAGACGGAACATTGTTTTCTGAACCTAAAATATTGCCTCTACTCAGTAAAACAAAATGTTCTATCTTTTACTAGATAAATGTTCATTAACAAAATTTTATCTAAATATATTCATGTGGGGTCTTATTTTGAAGGATTTATTGCAAGAAACACGACGGTGTAATCAGAATTTAATTTGAATACTCAGTTTAGGAGTTATGACTTTTTTAATTTGTACAGATATGACATCAGTGCATGCAAATCATGCGGAAGAAAATCACCACATGAAAATTCTGACGTGCAAAAAGGTACGACGTCAGTTCATGCACTCACGAAGCATGCGTTTGCAGGCTCGTATTCAATCGAAACGGCCCACGAAAAAAGCCCAGAAATCAAGCGCGCGCGCGCTGCTGCCGGCGCGAGAATTCCGTCCGAACGGGCGGACTGTAGCAGCCCCCGCTCTCCGCCCCCTCGCGATCCAGACGAGCAAGGCAGGAGGCGGCAGGGAGATAGAATCATAGAATAGAATGAATGCAGGAGGATTTTTTTTTACCGGCAATGATTCAGAGTCGGAGCATTGAAACTTACCTCTTAGATGATCTTTTTCCCAACCCAGATGGATGATCTGTGCAGTAGAAAAATATTACTGAGTGTAAATAAGTTTCTGAAGAAGCTGTGCTATATAGCTTAACTGAAAGAGATTGGGAGCTCAAGGGACAGGCGGCCCGTATATATAGTTGGTATTGGTATAGGTGACGGTCCTGGTATTTTCTGGAAGAGTTTCTACTACCGCTACTGAGGTATGACACTGTAGAAAGTAGTTGACGTGGCCTTAGAGCTTTTGCCAGCGCTGTTAAGGTATGGCACTGTAGAAAGTAGATGAAGTGGCCTTCTAATTTGCTTGAGCTTGGCTCAGAATTAGAGTGTAGAGATTCCAGAAGTCTAAACTGGGACATGATAAGAATCAAATAGGATTGTTTTTCTCTTCATCGAACAAAAGCGAGCCTCATGTTATTAAGCTTATTTTTTTCCTTAAAAATGTAACCTTTCATATTGATTGGTAAGAATATTTGAGCAGACGGTTTGCATCCCACTAAAAAAATAATGAAAAGGAAATACTATTTATGGAATTTCCCACACATTATCTGTTAGTTTTCACTAAAGAAACATATCATTCATTACAAGCATATCAAGTTGGTTTTAAGAAAAATAATTAAAGCACATATCATGACTATACCCCAAAATTAGCCTATTCTAAAGTTTAAGATACTTTCCATACTCAAATAAAGCAATAAAGTTCAGAAAGGGCTGCTTACTCAATGGGGATATAAGATATCATACCTGGTGTTCTACCGGTAAATCTTCGCCATTTCGAACACAACTTTCTTCTGCTACATTAAGAATTTCAATTATATTTGACAAATTTGGCCTTTTCTCCTTCTCATGGTGCACACATTCCAAGGCTATGTTGATGCATTGTTTTACTTGTTGGGTATGTAGTTCCAGTGCTGTATACTTCGATGATCTTTCGAATCTATTCCTCCAATTACTGAGCACCTACACAATTGCATATATAATAAATGAGCTAGAGCGATGGTACACATGCCGAAGATCCATTAGTTCTTCTTATTACTTTCTCTGTGAAGTGCTGGATTTCTATTTCGGTGCTTAGGCGATAGTCTGGATAGTCGTCCTTGCAGCCTTTGAGTATCTCTATAATTATGACACCCAAACTGAATATATCTGCTTTCTTTGAGATTACGCCATTATCTATGTATTCTGGTGCCATGTATCCCCTGCAGTAGACATCAAGAGTTTGAGATGGTGCAAGCATAATTGAGACCATTAATATATTACTAAGAAAGCAAACGGTATTTGTTGTGGGGTGTAGCTTACCTGGTTCCCGGGGGATTTGCAGTTTTAGTGACAGTCTGCGATTTTTGTTCACCCAACAACCTTGCCAAATCAAAATCCGCAATTTTTGGCATCATAGTATCATCCATTAATATATTTTGAGGTTTAAGATCCAGATGAATAATATTACACCCATGAAGGAAATCCAAACCGTGGCAAATTTCCTTAATTATCTTGTATCTCGTGTTCCACTCAAGACCGGAAGATTCATCTGTAGATATACTTTTTCTTGACATAATTAATCTTGTCATCCATGCTTAATAAGAAGAGCAATGAAACACATTTTGTGTGGTTGAGTAGCATTAATAGTAATGTCTAGTTTCTAGCTCGTCCAAAAACAAAGTTATTCTAGTTACATAGTCAATTTAAGTTTGACCAAATTTATAAAGAAGACTATCAACATTTATAACACCAAATAGAGATACTATCAAGATATATTTCATGATGGATCTTATTTAGTACTATAAATATTGAGGCAATATATTTATTTATTTAAGATGTTTATTGTATACTATACTTGTTTAAATCTAAGATATTTTGACTCAAGGTGTGTTCTAACAATTTAAACTTGAGAAAATGAGAAAAAAAATAGGGAGATGATAAATGTATGTCCGTCATCCCGTGTTTCTGAAACGTACCTGAAAGATGCTTATCAAGGCCTCCATTACACATATACTCGAAGCATAGAATTCTTGTCTGTTCGTAAACAATAGCACGTTTCCCGTTCTCTTGCTTCTTTATCACCCCCTTTGATTCAGCACAGTACCCTAGAAGCTGTATTACATTTGGGTGTTTGATAAGAGAAGTGGCCACTTTCTGGAACTGTTCATCACCCTTCACTACATCACTACTATTATGAAACTTCTTCACAGCAATAAATGAATCGCCCTGGCGGAGAAGTCCCTTCATAGAATAGTTGTGATGTTGATCCGTTCATTAGTTACGGCTGCCAACATTTATTTGTAAGTTGGAGCAAAAAAGAATTCATCATAGGTACCTTGTAAACCACCCCGTACCCACCCCTCCCGAGTTCTTGCTCATTGCTAAAACAATTTGTTATCGATCTCAAGAAGTTTAGGGGCAGAGAAATTGGTTCTTCTGCGGTCGGATCCAGAAGCTTGTTCTCCATATCCAATATCTCACGGCTGTCCATTCCTATTTACGCGGAACCTGCTTTAGAGGGAAATTATATGTTAAATACTTGTGCTAAACGGAGATTGGTAGGGTATTCCGATTAATGATATGAGCGGCCTTTCATAAAAAAAATGATATTAAGTGGCCCCCAGGCTCCCAGCATGTATATATTAATATTATTACTTGGTCCGATCTACTACAACATGCTAGCAAAGAACCAGATGTAACCAGGGGTGCCCAATTTTTTACAATTTGGCTCTTTTTTTTTTGAAGAAAATTTACGTTTAGCCTCCTGGGAGACGTAAACTCATCTTTGAACCCTGGGGGTCAGCGCTAAGACTCATGGTTCCGAGGTAACAAGTCTTGGCGTCACAGATCTTGGATTCAAGGTGCCTCACCGAGCACAGCAGGGCATCCTAGGTGGTGTTGGCCGCCGCAGCTCTCTCTCGCGCTCTATCTCTCCCTCTCTCACGCTCTCTGTCTCTCCCTCTCACCGTCGCCGCCAGCCAGCCTCGCCGTCGCCCGCGCCACCTCCGCCGGCTGCCGCCCGCTCCACCACAGCAGGCCACCGCCCTCTGTCCCCCGCGCATCGGTCGCCTGCTCGTCCCTCTCCTCCTCCGCTGCCGCCGCCGCCGACGGTGCCCGCCACGCAGCGACAGGCCGTGTCCGCCTCCGATGCCCCGTCCCATCCTCGCCCTCCGACGCAGCGGCACCGCCATCGGCACTGGAGGCACCGGCCGCCGCCCCTGCCCCCGCTCCAGCCGCCCAGGTGCCCGCCACGCAGCCAGGGAGGGCGCGACACCTCCACGGAGGGGAATCCAGGGTGGGCGGACGGGAGGAGGAGCGACCCTGCGGTTGGCTGGCTCGCCGGCGCGGCTTGCGGCGGCCACCTGGCGTACCACCGCGCTGGAGTGGAGCATGAGCTGAGGAGCGGCGACGAAGCAAACAACCCCAGCAGCAAGCCGGTAGGCAAGCAGCGAGATAGTTCACTAATCTCACTTGCAGCAGCCTTGCGCACTGGTAGCCATATGGTAGGAAACTAGGAACATAGGATTGTACTAGCACATTGGTAGCACATTGCACATTGCTGTGACAAACTAGGAACACACATTGGTAGCTATGTGGTAGGAATGCAAATTTGTAAAATTCGCAAGCAATTAGTAATTTATAAAGATATTTTCTTCAGTGTGAATGAAGATGATATAATGGAGACTTTTGTGGCTGTTAGGAAGCCTAAGCCCAACATGGAGAATAGTATTGTTGTCTTATTTGAACTATCCTAGATTGTTGGTTCTATTCTACTGATGATGTGCTATTACAGTTATTTAGTGATTTAGTGATGTAATTTAGTTAGCTAATTTAGGTAGATATTTATTTAGCTAATTGAGATAGATAGATAGATAGTTAGGTAATTTAGTTATATAGGTAGTACTTGTAGTAGATGTAGTTAGATAGATAGGTGGTTTATATTAGATATTTATTTATTTAGTTAGAGAGTCAAAAACTTTTATATGTATGTACTCATATTAGTTAAACCCGTAATAACTTTAGTGTTGTGCATACCAATTAGATGGACAATGTAGTCACCCTGTATCATGGAGGAAAGTGTGGAGGAAGATGAGTTTGGGAATGTCAGTTTTGTTGGAATGCAAATGGTGCCAGTGATATTCGATGATCGGCCAATGCAAAAATCACGTGTGATCAATTTCAGGAAGTATAGGGGCACAGAAATTGGTCGTGCAGTTGGATGCAGCAGTTTGTTCTCCAACTCCAGTATCTCACTTTCAGTAGCTCTGCTGTCCATGCCTATTTACATGGACCCTGCTTTAGGTGGGAAAATGATATACTTGTGTCAAACATAGATAACCATGGTATTTTAATTATTACTGTTATGAGTTGCTTCGACATGTAAATTACATCATCCGATGTACAGCAGAACGAAGAACTGTAATGCGACTTGCAAATACGAACGGCTAGGATACAGTACGTGAAAAACTAGCTACTTAACAGAGTATATTTGTTAGAGCACGTATCGGAGCAGCTCAACTCATCATACCTGCCAGCCAGCTAGTGGCGGAGCTTGTACACAAAATCAGGAGGGGCAAACTACAATGACAATAGTGTCCGCTTTGAAAATTATTCTGTAAATCACATAAGCAAACTACTCTCAAGAGCTAGCACTAGCTTTAAGACGATAAATATAGAGGCGAGGGAAATCGCAACAAGTAGCCTTGAACATATTATGCTTTGAGAGAGATGTATCGTGAAATATGTGAGACTATCTCTTAATAAGTCCATCCATGCTAGTCTTTTGCTTTAAGCACTATTCGGTGATTAAAAAATTGATTCAGCAAGCTCTACGTAACCCTTACTATGAAGTTGCACAAACATAGGGGGAGCCATGACCTACCTTGGTCCTAACGAAGCTCCGCCTCTGCAGCCAGCACCCAAGACTATCTCCTTGAGATTTCTTGTCCAGTCCCCTAGACTCCGTTTTTAATGCTTTATTAATATATATGAGCTTCCAATTCAATAAAAATAGAACGTCACAGGCTCACGGCAGTATCTGCGACAGTACCGTCATGAAAAGCCTGCAAGACGAAAAGAATACCGACTTACTAGTCTACTACATGACAAGACAGAACACCCCCCTTCTCCCTCCCTCGTGAAAGAGAGATTTTTTTTTTCTGGTGTTGTATACCTGGACAAAATTTGAACTGCAGGTAAATAATCGGTTCAAGTAGAATGCCGAGGCAACAAAAGGGTCTGAAGTCTGAGCTTTGAAGCTAAAGTTTAGTAACAGGGAGATCAGCATAGCCACACAATGCAAAAGCAAAACACATATAATAGTCTCCAAACCCACCTCTTGCAAACTGTTGTGCTAGTTGAAATCTTCAGTACCACCGGAGGATATATGTTTGAGTTGAGCTGCTTGCAGGGAGAGGAGGAAACCACCATTAGCAAAGCTGATGCCGCTGTCTGTCGCCAGAACAGAAGAAACCATCTACAAGAAAGCTTACCCACCAAGAAGAGGAACGAGCAGGATTCGATTTGATCACCCAAGTTGTTAATTATGAGAAAACAACTGGTGCTGGCTGCGTGAAAGCAAGAAAAAAAGGAACTGATACTACTGTTGTGCAAGTTGTTGAAGATATCCCTGATGACTAACTGGCTTGAAAACTCCAAAGATCTTCAGAGTAGCACCGGATGGGAAGATGTGCGACTCTGAAGCACGTGTGCTAGCTGCTGCTGCGTGCGTTTGCGTTGCATTGGGGAGAGAGAACCACCATTAGCAAGTGAGTAGTACGAAGCAAAACAAATCTGATGCTGCTAGCTGTTGCCAGAGGAAAGTATCAGTACAAGCAGCCAGCTTACCTTACCAACCAAGAAGAGAAACTAAACCAGCAGGATTTGATGGTGCTGCGTGAAATCAAGAAAAGAACCGCTGCAAACAGGAGAGAGGTCGCCGGCGGCGGAGACGACGGAGGAGAACAAGAACTGGTGGTTCGTTCTAGTGGTGGTGAACCTGGTGGTGAGATGGTCAAGAGGAGCTGACAGCTGAGCAGTGACCAGTGGCTGGAGGGGGGCACATACAGGACGATCACCGCGTGGGTCGTTCTCGTGGTGGTGAACCTGTTCGGCTGCTCCTAAAAGCCAGTATTTTTCTTTTAAAAAACCAGCCATACAAATCAACATAAGCGGCTTTACGAGCAACCGAATACTCCGGCGCCAGACGGTGACAGAGTCGTCACGGAAATTCTTAGGAAATTATGCTATAGTGAAATACTCCACAAAAGAATGCAGCTCAAGTTTTACCAAGTTAATAGAAAATAGTATTAACATTTATGTGTCTAAATAAATTTATTATAAAAATATATTTTATAATATAACGAATCTAATGGTATTTATTTTTTATCATTAATGTTAGTATTTTTTTATATAATTTTAGTCAAAGTGTAAACTAATTTTTTTATATAATTTTAGTCAAAGTGTAAATTAATTAGGTGTGTTCGGCTGCACTTTTTCCTGGGCTGCAGCGGCAGCTATTTGCTGTTTGCTACTGTGCTTTGTATTGTTTGTGCACTTTGGCAGCAGCTGCAATAGCAGCAGCAACGATGCAAGTTTGTGCACTATTCTTTTGTGGATAGAGGGAGTATGAAAAGAACCGTTCATACCAGAAGTTCAACTGTTTCGTTCATTCAAAAATGACAGTTGATTTTGGCTAGTTAAATTTATCAAGCTTTTTTTTTCCAAAAAAATCACATAGATAAGCCGTGCACATCCCCACCTCTACGAGCATATCTGAAAAACATAACTTATAGATCTCAATATTTGTGAAGTCACCAGAGATGCTCTGCCACTGAAAATATAGCGTTGTTTAAATCTTAACGTTTGACTAATTAAAATAATAGTATACTAACGTCTACATGATCATCTAGTTTTGTTGACTCTACCATAAAATGTTTTGGTGGTGGGTTCGTTCATTTTCGTAGATGTTAATATATGTTTTTATAATCTTGATTAAAATTTGAGAAATTGACTTCGATATTGTGTGAATAATAATAATATTTTGGGAGACAAGAAAGGTGCCAAGCGTACGCGTTAGAATTATTGCGCACATAGCGTGCTATTGTCAGATCACCATGTGGCATCGACACACCATCAGTGAGTCGGTGACCCCGCGTGTACTCTCGTGGCCCCTCTCTCTCAAGACCATAGAAAAACATCGATGAATGATCATTAAAATTCCGACAAAAACATGTTTAATGAGCACTTAAGCATCCTCCTGTAGTTCGACTTCTATGATAATAGTGAAATAGAACAAAAGAAATTCTCAAAAAAAAAAAAAGATAGAACAAAAGGAACTACAAGGATTCAATATGCATTAACTTATGTCCCAAATCAACTAAAACGGGGTACTTCTCTCTAGTAATTTACATTGGAATGGGCCCAGTTAAGGTTAATGGGTTGCAAGATCGGTACTAAAATTGAAAATAGGACCATAGAACTGAAATCTATTAACCCAATGGATAGGATGGGTTGACCCAACTATTTATTACAACAAATTCTTAAAAAAAAACTATTTATAACAACATTTCTTTATTATTTATTGGTCTTCTCCTCTCTTTTTTTTCTGAGCAAGCACGTTTGATGATAACTTGTTAAGCACGTCCATGCTTAAAAATAAATAGAGAAATACCATATTCTGTAGGAGAAAGACTGCGCAGCCTTTCAGAGCACGATGACATGGACTCGTGGAGCACTGAGAAAGCGCATGGACAAAGCAAGGGCACTAGGATCGCCTCAGAGAGATGACTACGAACGACTGATAGCGTGAGCGAGCATTGGAGGCGAAGGAGACCACTTTGAAGTACTAGCTCGTTGCTTGCCGGTCGGAGGCGGTGACACACGCTTCTTCTTTGTTGTGCGCGCATCGTGACACACGCTTCCAACCACATGGTGGGCCCATCATGTACAAATCCCCATCTTCTCCCTGTCATTGAAGCGAGCCGGAGTTAGAGAGGAAGGGTTACGTAACATTTCTAGTTTATGTAATGCAAAAATTTGAACTATTTAAAATGTTTGTGTCATTTTGTGTTGCATGTGTAATTAATAGACCAAAAACTTCTCACACCTACTTCTATTTCAAAATCTCAGCCTGAACTTTTCCAAATTAAAGTTTTGCACGACATGTTGTTTTAAAGGAGGCAAGCTAGGTTTTAAAATTGAAACAAATTTCATTTTTCCAAAAGTAAATAGGGTTGAATTCTAGCGCTCACTTGACCTTTCCATATCAGGATGTACACGGCCATGATCTGATCTGCACATTTATGTTTCCTAGCTTTTGTAGGGTATACAGTTAAAACACATCGTTTCTATTGCAATCTAGCTACCCAGTGTTCGGAGTGATAACTATCAGAGTATCCCCTCCGTCCAGGAAAGAATGCAATTGTAGGAACCGTGCCGGTCAAATTAGCTCAAGTTTGACTAAGTTTATAGTATAGTATTAATATTTATGTCTCTAAATAAATTTATTATAAAAATATATTCTGTAACTAATCTAATAGTATTTATTTTCTCTCATTGGTGTTAGTACTTTTCATATAATTTTAGTCAAAGTTTAAACTCTTTGACTCCACGAAATGTGAGAATTGCGTTCTTTTATGGACGGAGGAAGTATGTTACAAGATTTGGGCTGGCCCAAATAATAATTCCAAATAAATCCTAACGGCCCACTCACACATGCATGGTCTGGTGGGGAACTTTAGTCCCACATTGCTACGCTAGGAGGAGTGAGACCAACTTAAATAGTTGAGTTGTCTCCAACTAGTTAAAGCGGTGGGGCAATGGGCTTGAAGCCTATGTTCCCTCATGTCCCTCACGGGGTAGGGAGGGGCCGTATTAGCTTTTTGGGAAGCGATCGCCGGTGTCCGTGGATCTCCTTCAACGGTCTGCTTCGTCTACTTTTGCGCTATCTCTCTAGCGTCGACAACCCCACTGTAAGGATGTCTATAATTTCTTTGTTGTTTGTTCTATTATTCCTCATGTTACTAGCACTAGGGAAATTTGAGTTTGCGCTATCTCTCTAGCATCGATGACCCCACTGTAAGGATGTCTACAATTTCTTTGTTGTTCGTTCTATTATTCCTCATGTTACTAGCACTAGAGAAATTTGAGTTTGCGCTATCTCTCTAGCGTCGACAACCCTACTGTAAGGATGTCTACAATTTCTTTATTGTTCGTTCTATTATTCCTCATGTTACTAGCACTAGGGAAATTTGAGTTTGTCTAGGATCGTAGTGCCAGTGTTAAATCACACACCTATGATACATGTTGTTGTCGTTCTTTTCTTTATTATTGGAATTAATTTGTGCATCACTAAATTACTATTATTTTCGACAGAGTATATGTACTATTGCTCTTTCATCCGGCCGTTTGTATCCTAATATACTAGAAATTTGACATTGCTTACTGCATAAGTGTAGCCCTAGCTAGCCCCCGCATCTACCATGGTGTGAATCATTACGACAACAGTCACCCGATAGAACGTTCTTGATCTACTTAACTCCAATTTTATATCATATTACTAATTAATAAAATAGTAATGTAAACAAACAATTAGGCATTATTTCAATTTAATTAATAGTAGAAAAGATGTCCTTAGACTGGCTAGGTTACTGCATTACAATGTGTACTGATTAGTGATGACACAGGAGTACCATTCAATCACTAATTTAACTTTTGGTGGTCCACATGAATGTACACTGCATGCTTCGGTAGGTGTACAGTATCTATTTAGATGCAAATAAAACTGTGCATGATGTGTCCCCAAGTCCAAACTGCATGCAAAGGTATCTTTCAACCAAAGTAGACCAAAAGAACTTTTGTTTGCCTTTCACTTTCCTCTGCACTTTTAGCTAGGCTTTGAAATGGATTCACTCCCTCTCTCTTGTGTTGTTAACCATGCTCTGAGGCCCCGCAGTGTATCACAAAGTGGTACCAAAATGATCCAGCTTTGCATCATTGGAATCTGAAGCACACCAGAGGATATCTCTGGTATCCCACTGTCTCAGTAGTAGTGTACTACTGCACAGCCTTTTCTGCTTTTGGGGTAGCTTTAAACCCTTTACCACCATACTTTGCACAAAGCATCTACAGCTAGATGTATATAGGAGTAAATATTTCTAGCAGATCAGTTTGACTTTTAGTAGAAGTTTGCTGCTCTTAGTTCAGTGCCATTGTTCATCATCAGATGAATCTGGGAAAACCCTCGCCATCATCATCAGCCTGGTGGCAGCGGTCGCCATCGTTATCGTCTTCCTCTCCATCCTCCGTAGGGCCGGCGGTGTCGGCGGTAAGATTTACCTACACAAGCTTGAAGCTGCAAATTCTTAACTTGCATTACAATCTATTTCTCTTGTCCATGGCATTCATTCATTTGTAAGTATCTCTTTTAC